CACCTGCATCACATATCAAAGATTAAATTTGTGGAGATTTGTTTGGGAGCTCTCTATTCTGTTTCATTGGTCCGTTTATCAGTGAAGACCACACTGTCTTAATTGCTGTAGCTTTATAAAACTTCTGATATTTGACAGGACATCTTTCCTCTTCTTCAATAATGTCTTTGATATTCTTGGCCCCATCCCTTTTCCAGAGAGAGATATATATATACATATATATATATATAGAGAGAGAGAGAGAGAGAGAGAGTGCGCGTGCGCGCGCGCGCAAGAGCGTGACAGGGTCTCACTTTGTTTCCCAGACTGGAGTACAGTGGTACAATTGTAGCTCACTGCAGACTTAAACTCCTGGGCTCAAGAGCTCCTCCTATCTCAGCCTCCCAAGTAACTAGGACTCTAAGGCATGCACCACCACATCCAGCTAATTTTTTAAAAAGTTATTATTTTTTTGTAATGATGGGGATCTTGCTATGCTGCCCAGGCTGGTCTCAAACTTTTGGCCTCAAGCAATCCTCCCACCTCAGGCTCCCAAAGTGCTGGAATTACAAGTTTGAGCCACCACATGTGGCTCCATTTTCCATATTTTAAGACCATATTTTAAAAGCTCCTCAAGCCTGCTTTTTTCTCTTGGTGCTACTTGCAACTCCCTTAGTTAGCCTTGGAAATACTATTAGTGAAGAAAATTTGAAGAGTTGAAAAATAAAATCTTCTTTCTTTTCTTCCAATTGCAAAAGAGCAGACACCCTCCTGAATCATAAAACTAGTTTTGATAAATTGGTGAACTGAGAGCATACACAGTATTATTAATTCTGTTCTAATTTCTGCTTCACTATGGAGTCTCTTTGCATAGTCTTAAAAGATTATTGCTATGAAATATTCTTTTACATTTAACCCATAACCTCTGTAATTCTGCGGTTGTAATTGGTTGTCTTACCAAATAATCTGTTGCTTTGCTTCATAATATTTGAATTGGCATCTCTATTTTCCAAAAGGCATAAATACTAGTATGGATTTTTTAGTTAAGCCAGAAGAAAGTTCACTTTATTTACTAACATAACTTATACATAAAGGTTTAATACATCTCCCTGCTTCTTTTCTTTTGCATCATGACAACCACTGAAAATAGTATTTCTATAGCAGTTGGGGGTAAATAGACAGTGGCTTTTGTGGCCAGAGGTGAATGGCCCAGGGTCTCCAGCACTCCAGGTCCCACTGAGCCTGCCCCACAGCTGAGGGCATCGGTATTTCCACACACCTATAGTGCATGGTGCCCCAGAATAGAGACTGGATGCTCTCCTTTATTCAAATGGGGAGTTGAGAGTATTGCCATTGTAATTAAATTAATACATACATATTTATACACTGTTAAAATCTGGTTGGATTTGTGTCCCTTCACAAAACAAATCGCTTAAATGAAACCACAGAGTTAACATAATTAAGTACATCTGCTTCTGTGAGATGCTGCTCTTTTAAATTGAATTAGAATCTAATTTGAAATGTCAATAAAAAGTTCAAATATTCAATTCAATTATATTTAGATTTCTTTTTGTTTTATTTTGAGATGGAGTTTAGCTCTTGTCACCCAGGCTGGAGTGCAATGGCATGATCTCAGCTCACTGCAAGCACCTTCTTTTGGGTTCAAGTGATTCTCCTGCTTCAACCTCCCGAGTAGCTGGGATTACAGACACGTGCCACCACGCCCAGCTAATTTTTGTATTTTTAGTAGAGATGGAGTTTCACCATGTTGGCCAAGCTGGTCTCGAACTCCTGACCTCAGGTGATCCACCCACCTCAGCCTTCCACAGTGCTGGGATTACAGGCGTGAGCCACCACGCCTGGCCTTTTTAGATTATTTTACTTTATTTTAATTACTTATTTTTATGAATTTATTGTTATAAAAATGCTAGTTTTTTTTTTAAAAAAAATCAATCAATATAACAAAGAACAAAGAAGATGATCAACAAGCATTCCCACCTCCACGATCTGGAAATAACTGTCATCAATCCAAAAGCTGACACATGGTGGATCCCTTCACACCTGTTCACAGTACAAAGTAACCCCTTGCTTATAGAAAACATTATTATCATTATTATTTTTGAGACAGAATTTGACTCTTGTAGCTCAGGCTGGAGTGCAATGGTGCAATCTTGGCTCACTGCAACCTCTGCCTCCCAGGTTCAAAGGATTCTCCTACCTCAGCCTCCCAAGCAGCTGATATTACAGGCACGCACCACCATGGCCGGATAATTTTTTGTATTTTTAGTAGAGACGGGGTTTCACCATGTTGGCTAGGCTGGTCTTGAACTCCTGACCTCAGGTGGTCCACTCGCCTCAAGCTCCCAAAGTGCTGGGATTACAGGCGTGAGCCACTGCACCCGGAATAGAAAATATTATGAAGTAGCAAACAGTAGCAGTATGCTTGGGGGTTTTAGGATTGATTATTTTCAAATCTCTAGAAAAGCTATAATTCCAGGGCAGAGTCTCATCTGTTAATGGGGGACTGGTCTAAGGTTCCCACCAGCTCTCAGATTAATGGTTTCCCAGGTTGATCTGCTCCCTGCCACCCACCCATCCTCAGTTTTGTTTGTTTGTTTGTTTTTACAGAGACAAGGAAGGTCTCACTATATTGCCCAGGCTGGTCTTGAACTCCTGGCCTCAAGTGATCCTCCTGCCTTGGCCTCCCAAAGTGCTGGAGTTACAGATGTGAGCCATTGTGCTCGGCTCATCCTTGGCTGTTCAAGTGTGGAGGTAAATAGATGCCAAGGTTACCTCCAGGTCAGAAGTGGCAGATGCCCCAGGGCAGAATCATAAACCTAACCAGGCCTCCCGCTGCACAAAGACCTTATTTTCTGAAGCTTAAACCTGGACAAAGGTCTGACCGGTAGCACTGTGTTCTTGAATATCAGGTCAAAATTTAAAACTGGGACTATCCAGAAGAACCTGGTAGCTGCAGGTGCAGTCTGCAGTCTAATGGTCAGCTACGAAAACAGGCTACTTGTACTTTCTCTTTTTCATGGAGTCTTTGACGTAAAAATTGATAACACTTTCTTGCTTCTGGTGTGCTTCCCTTTCTTCTTCATTTTCCATAAGCAGCTTCCTCCATCCTACCTCCCAACAGGCACAGTCAATTCAAGACATTTTAACCATGAAAATGAGTCTCCATAACACAAATTTAGAGGACAGGCATGGTGACTGACGCCAGTAATCCCAGCACTTCGGGAGGCTGAGGCAGGCAGATCACCTGAGGTCAGGAGTTCAAGACTAGCCTGACCAACATGGTGAAACCCCATCTCTACTAAAAATACAAAATTAGCCAGGCATAGCAAAAGGGCTGTCATTCTGCCGTCTTGGTAGGAACTCCAAGAAGCTGAGAATGGAGGCTGAGGGTAAGTGCTATAGAGAAACATTCCCAGAGAAAATGAAAATAGGTGTCTGGTTGGTTTCACCAATGATATGGATTAGGGACTGCTGTCTATTTTATTTTGCCCCTCTAAGATAGGTGTGTTCATTGCCTTTTTCTTGTCTCTTTCAGTCTTCTTTGCTTGATATGTATAAAGCAGATAATGTGTTCCTTTGATGCACAGGTTGAGAGAGATTGCATGTGATAAGTTGTAGTCACATCACAGACACCATATTCTGATTAGATAAGACACTGCACTTTACTTTGAGCCTGTTCCTATAATTGTATGCCTTCAGAGATTCCTTACAGGGTGTGTTTTTGGTATATGGGAAGTAGTTCTGAGTGGAACTAGTTGCCGAGGATGACCCCTTATGACTACAGTCACAATAACTACAGCTTGTGGAGTCCTCTCCTTTTGATTAGGGCTGTCTGTGTGACTCACCTTGATCAATGTAAAGTCATAGAAGTGACACTGTCTGCCATTCAAAGGTAGGTCTGTGATGCTGTGCATCTTCTCCATGAGCCTTTTGGAAGACTTTCTTTGGCGAAAGCCAATCACCATTCATTAAGTCTAAGAACTGTGAGAGTCTATTTGAGGAAATTAAAGGCATGAATGGGAAGGTGAGGTAGTGAAGGAAATAATCAGCCAGTTTCCAGGTGTTCACTCAGCCCTAGTGTTGAATTGGGCATGAGTAAAGCATCCCTTGAAATCCCAGCCTAAAAGATCCCTCAGAAAATGTGACTCCCATCACATGATCTACCACTCACATGAGTTCAGTAAACCTGTAAAGCTGGGAGAGATCAAAATAAATGATTGCTTTTAACCAATATGTGTTGGGCGGTTTTCTACACTGCAATTTATCACAGGAATAGCAGCAAAGCAGAGTCTGCTCACTGTGTCTGTGTACATGAATTGTGTCTATTCCAATAATAATCTTCGTGTTCTCTGATCTAAAACCATGACCATTTATTTCCAAAGAGAAACCCCTGGATTCTCCCCACATAAAATGAAAAACTTTTCAAATATTTGCAAATAAGAATAATTGGGATTATTTAAGGGGAATCACTGGGCTCCCGTGATTCTCTATTACTTGGATTGAAAACTTTACATGCAAAACTTGTCATCTTTTTCTTCACTTCCTTCACAGCAGCCCGCACAAAGCCAGGCATAGTGTTCATACACAATAAGCATCCTGAGAACAATGGAAAAATTAAGAAATTCCACATCATTTTCCTCAAGTTATAGGTTTTCCCCAAAGCTACTAGGTACACCTGCATGGCTGTAAACAGCTGTCTAACATTTAAGTGCCGTGAGTCATCTGAGATTGGGTAAGTATTTTGGTTCAGACTGTCTGACGTCAACTACGTACTATAGAAGGATGCTGTTTCTAATGTCTTATCAAACATTCCAGGGACCTTGTCACTCACTCCCTTTGTCACAGGAAGGTTTATCCCCTTTGATTTCCTGATGCCTCCCATAGAATGCCCTGGCCCCTTTTGGGGATGATCATATCCTCTTTCCCCCTCTTAAAGCAAGAACCAAATCATGTGCGGTTTCGTGCTGTTTTAATGACCAAGTGTAGGGGAAAGGGTTGAGGAGGGATAATTCTGTTAGCAGGCTCCAGGAATCCCATGGTGAGGTAGAAAGAGGGTTTCCTCAACAATGAGGAGTGTAATCATCTCCATCCATTGCTGACAAGCACTGAGTCCAGGGAGACATCTCTGCACACTTGAATCATCTTCACATATGATGGTGGGATTCGATGGACAAAGGCGTAAATGTATTCACCATTTACCTTTACCTTTAAGAGGAAGAATGCATCAGAAAGACAAGTTTTCAGCCTCCTCTCTACTCTGCCCTAGTACCAATAACATTCTCCAAGAAAACTCCTAGTTATACAAGTGAATGTTGTAGATACGTTTCTGTTTACAGATGATGTTTTGTACCGATTTGAGACAGTTGCTGACTTTATTTCTAGTTTCCTCTCATTCCTCTTGTGACGTTCTACACTCTGTGTCACACAGTCCCTGTTACTCAGCCTCCCTTCTAAACTGGATGACCCCATTACCAGGGACTGTGTTTCAGGAACCTGAGACCCTGCATCTCACACAGGACCTGCCACAGGGTTAGTGCTAGACCATGTTCATTGAAATGCATACTTTTCAGTTCCACGAACTGTGACCGCCTTTCATTACTGATGGCACAGTTCCTCTTTGGAGTAGCCTACATCTGAGGTGTTAGTGGCAAAGAATGAAACCCAGGATTCTTAGAGAGTTAAAGGAAGACAAGTCTTGTATAACATAAGATATTATCTTCAACAACTTCTAAGCATAGGAAAAGATCCCTCACTTGAATCTGAATGAGATGGGAATCTTTTGGCCTACTCATTAGAGAAAGCAAGAGAGTATGGATATATTCCTTATATTGAGGCTATAGAGAAAGTCACCTTATTAGTATTAGTTTTTCAAATTTAAAATGCACATATTTTTCAACCAATTTTTTTTCATTTTTTTGTAATTATGTCGCAATATAAGTATTGGGAGGTTGGTAATGACAAAAGGGTTTATTTGAAAGCCTGATACAGCATCATTTGTGAGAGCAAAATACTGGGAACAACTTCAATGCTCAACTGAACAATTGAAGCAGCACCATGGATTGAGAATGTCTTCAAGATATATTCTTTGGTAAAAAACCAACTTAGTTCCTAAAGTGTAATGTGTAGAGCAACTTATACCAGGATTTGCTTAAACACAAATGAAATCATAGACATATCTATATGCTTCCATAGGCAAAGATTTCCTCTGAAGGGGTTGGCACGGTGGCATATGCTTGTAATCCCACTATATTGGGAGGCTGAGTTGGGCTGGGAACTTGAGACTGGGAGTTCAAAACCAGCCTGGCCAACATGGTGAAACCCTGTCTCTGCCAAAAATAAAAAAAATTAGCCAGATGTGGTGGCATGCACCTGTAATCCCAGGTACTTGGGAGGCTAAGGCAAGAGACTCACTTGAATCCGGGAGGTGGAAGTTGCAGTGAGCTGAGATCATGTCACTGCACTCCAACCTGGATGACAAAGTGAGTCTCTGTCTCAAAAAAAAAAAAAAAAAAAAAGGGATTCTCTCTGAAGGAGAGCAGAGCACTGGTAATGTTATTCGTATGAGTAGAATTGGGGCCCAAAAGTGAGACGAAGATGTAAGTTTTGATTGATAGAAAAAACTTTTTTCTTAAGTATGATTGATAGAAAAAA